CTGAAGTTATGGTTGATTGCTCTTCGGCTGGATATCAACACACCCATTAACGTAAACTACGCCAGAGCGCGTACACACCTCACGCACCGGAGGCCTGCGCGCGCCCAAAGACGGTTGGACATAGTGGTGTATTAGAGGTAAAAAATTATATAAATACTGTTCGGTTTCTCGCACAAACCGATCGTTTCGTGTCTTAGGACATCAATGTGTTGTCACGAGCCACAGGGTTTAATTTGGATTTATCTGTGCATGTTTCTTTTACTCTCCTAGATTTTGTTACCATTGCCATGCATTATACGACTGAAAGACTGCAACGGTTAAAGTTAAAAATCACCATATGTGTTCTACTGAAGAAACAAAGTCACCTACATCTTGGATGCCCTGGTGGTAAGCAGATAAACATCACATTTTCATTCCTGGGTGAACTATCCCTTTAAGTCTTTGTGTTCAAGATTCTAAAACTTGAAATAGGTTTAAATAAGATTCTAGATTTTTAATCCGCATCAGACTTTCTTAATGAAGAGAGAGAGAGAGAGAGAGAGAGAGAGAGAGAGAGAGAGAGAGAGAGAAAACTGATTGGTTGTGTTGATAAAAAATTCAAACCTCGTCTTCTAGAGAGAGAGAGAGAGAGAGAGAGAGAGAGAGAGAGAGAGAGAGAAACCTGATTGGTTGTGTTGGGTCATTTCTAGCCATTTTCTGTTCTATAGGAATCTGCTCCCATTTGAAGTGTAAACTCCAGTCGAAACCTGACATCAGAGGGGAAAAAGAGAGGCAGTTATTTCTGGAATCAACACATGCAGTAATTTTTAATCAGTCGACTGATTTTTTGATGGCCGATACCATACATATGATGTCATTTAAACAACGTGCAAAACAACTGCTGCGATGAAATGTAATTTATTTTACAAACTAAACTGAAATAATTAACTGTAAAAAAAATTAACCTGTAAAATAAAAGTATTAATTTAGTGACTTCTTGATTCTGTAATCCTGTTATAGTATTTTTCATAGTATAAAATGCTTCCATGTAGTTCAAGCAGTAGAGCCTGGCAAATGCATAAATGTAAACTATAGTATTTTTCACAAATAAAGAAATAGTTAAAAACCTGAATAAAAGCTAACAGCACGCTGCACACTGGGAAACATATTTTCTCAAAGACCAGTCAACGTTGATTTTACATATGAGATGAATATGACATGGCAGCAAACTGGATATAGTACACCAACATTTGAAATCTGCGCTCAGGTGCTGGTGTTTTTTCCGCTGTCAAAATAAAAGTACCACCACTGTCAAAATAAAAGATGCTTCCGACACTCATCAGCCAAGCAAAAAAAGCCAAATCAGCTGGTATATCAGACTTTATAAATTAACCAGATTATCCTTCAAAGCTCAGGTGAACAATCAACTGTGGTTAAATAATAGGGATGTTATCGGGATACCAGTATCGGGCCCGATACTGGTCTCCTGTACTCGTACTCGTACTCGTTAAAATGCCCCGATACCAAACCCCGATACCACACAGCATGTGATAAGCGCCATATTCAAACAAAGAAACACCGACAACAGAACAACAGACAGCAGAAAGGAGTTAAGGATGTCTACTACGAAGTATATGTATGCAATGAATATAATGTTAAACATTCAGTATTAACGCCTGTATAGCTGATGTGCGCGAGCTGATAAAGCACCTATTTGATAAATTAAGTTAACCAACTAACATTATACATACCCTTTTGGTTTCTGTACCCAATATTTAAAAAATGTACAAATGCAATAAAAACATTGGTATCGGTACCCGGTATCGGCAAGTACCAAAAATAAGAGTATCGGTATCGGGCGAGTACTGGAAAAAGTGGTATCGGTGCATCCCTATTAAATAATGTCACTTGGGATCTTATGTGAGTTTGTCGGTGTGCCGAGCATAAGTGGCTTAAAGATAAGTTACAAGTATCTTATGATAACCTCTGAGAATCTCTATGACAATATCAAGATGCTGTTAAAGCAGCTAGATCTTATTTCTAGCAAATTATATCGCATAATGTAAATAACCCAAAGGTTTTGTTTGCAACCATAGATAAGGTACTGAGTTTGTCTATTAATATTTTCTCTACTCCGACTAAAGACTTGTGTGAGTTTTTAAAAATATTTAATTGATAAGGTTGATTTTATATGCTTGAAATTTTTACCAGTAGGCAATGTTGTAATCGATGCAATGAATCCTTCTTATTGTTTGAGTAAAACAATTGTTTGAGTATCATTAAGCATTTAAAGCCGACTACCTCATTTTATGATGTTCCTCCACGATTTTTTAAGGAGGTTGTAGACATTATTGGTCCTTTTATTCTATCGATTATTAATAGTAGTTTATTTTATGGCACTGTACCATCAGAGATTAAGCATGCAATCATTGAACCTGTTTTAAAGGAAACAAACTTGAATTCACAGGATTTAAAAAATGTCAGACCCATTTCTAAATTGCTTTTTATGAATAACATCTTGGAGAAGGTTGTCCATTTTCAACTTGTTGATTTCTTGACTGAAAATGGTATAATGGATACTTTTCAGTCTGGATTTAGAACTAAACATAGTACTCAATCAGCGTTATTAAAAGTTAAAAATTATATTTTGTTAAATATTGACTTCGGGAAATGGGTTGCCTTAATGCTGTTAGATTTGAGCACAGCCTTCGATACAATAGATCAGTGATGGGCAAACTTGGCCCTTCCAGGTCACTTTCCTGCAGAAATTTGATCCAACTCTGATAAAACTCACCTGCCTGTAGCCTTCTAGTAGTCTTGAAGACAATGATTAGCTGGTTCAGGTGTGTTTGATTAGGGTTGGAGCTAAACTCTGAAGGAAAGTGGCCTGGAAGGGCCAAGTTTGCCCACCCTTACTGCAATAGATCATGCCATTTTAATAGAACGCCTTAGAGACCATGTAGGGACAAACAGTGTTGCCCTTCAGTGGTTTTCTTCTTATTTGCAGGATCGGACATGTGCTGCAAACATCTGTAATTTTGTTTCTGGACCTGCGACTATCTCTTGGGGTGTTCCACAGGGATCGATTATTGGTCTAACCCTGTTTTTGTTATACATGTTGTCTTTAGGGTAAATTTTTAGGCAATACAATATAAATTATCATTTGTATGCGGATGATTTACAACTGTACCTTCCTCTTGAGTGTGATGACTGTACATCATTTGCTAATTCTTCTATGTGTTTGACTGAGGTAAAGGGATTGTTAACAAATAATTTCCTACAATTAAATGAGGATAAGACCGAGTTTATTATATTTGGGAATAGACTCCCTGAGAAAGAACTGGTTGAGAGTTATGGCCTATTGTCAAACAACATGCATGGTTTTGGGAAGAACTTAGGAGTAATTAGGACTCAGATATCTGCTTTGATCGCCAAGTAAACTGTTGTGAAAGGACCTTTTTTTTCAGTTATTCTGAATCAGTTATCTGAATTGAAACCTATCCTTTCTACCAAGGATCTGGAAACTGTTATGCATGCTTTCATTTCCACAAGATTGGATTATTGCAATGCTTTATATTTAGGCCTAAGTGAATCTCTGGTTACTCGTCGTCTTCAGTATGTTCAAAATGCTGCTGTGAGACTTTAAATTAATAAAACGGGATCATATAACGCCTGTGTTGATATCTCTTCACTAGTTACCTGTAAATTATAGAATCCAGTACAAAGTGTTAATGTTTGTGTACAAAGCATTGCACAATCAGGCTCCTAAGTATATAAAGGACATGCTGTCTCCTTACCAATCTCAACGTCATCTGCGCTCTTCTCAGAACTTGCTCTTAACGGTTCCTCAGTCTCGTTTAAGGCGTAGTGGAGATCGCGCCTTTTCAGTTGCGGCTCCTAAGCTCTGGAATGCCTTGCCACTATTCATAAAATCTTCGTCAACTATGGACATTTTTAAAAGGAACTTAAAGACTTATTTCATCAGGCTTTTGGCGTTTGAGTGGGTCGGATTAATGTGAGTGATTTTGTTGTACAGTTTATATTGGTGTCATGCTGTGTTGGTATTGTATGTTTGTAATGTTTTTTTTTTTATTATCTCTGTACAGCACTTTTGTCAATTTTCAATTTTTTGAAAGTGCTTTATAAACAAACGCTGAGTTGAGTTGTGCTTTAGGTATCAACTCTGTCTCCTAATATTCCTTGATAACAATAAAATTAGACATAAATGAGTCAAATTTTTACAAACAATATCAATCAATATCAAAATTACTAAAACAAACTGAAATTAAAATGCAAACTAAAAAATATGAAAATAAAAGTTAATTTTAAAATACTAATAAATATTATAATAGGATATAAGTAATAGTAAAATAACACTGGTTCATAATGAGATCTATTGATTGCAGACTTTGGTGTCTTGGCAAATCTGAGCACAGTCTGAGATATCTAAGACTTTAGAGGAGAAATGTGTGAGATTATTCTCATCAGAAACATCTTTCTCCTTTTACTCTCATTGCATAGAAACAAATATTAAAGAGATTAAATTGATACATTAAAGAGATGTTTTTTGTTTGTTTGTTTGTTTTTGTGTGCTAAAGCAGTGAGATCTCTCTCACCTCCTCTCAGGTCTGCAGAAGCGGCCAGGTAGGCAAAATTATCCAGACTGATCACATCAATGACGGGACTGACCGCACGCGTGTGATCCTACAAGAGAACACAAACCACAAATGACCAGTGTAATTATGGGTAAAAAGCTTTGCAATTATTTGATTTATTTAGTCATTATTGCATTTCAGGCCATACAAGCAGAAAGGATGACACAAGCCATTTGTGTGTCTCCATGAAGACCCTGCTGAACATTCTTAAATATTCTTAAAAATGTAAGGCTTAAATTTAAACTCAAAATAAGTTTTTAAGTTGAATTAGGAGGAAATTTTTTAGAGCATTAAATGAAAATTCATCTATTTTCTAAATGCATTTTATGGACCTTATTATGAATGATTTGTCTCAGGTTACTTGACTGTAACCCTGTTCCCTGAAAAAGCGAGAATGAGATGCTGCGTTTCAATAACGCTTATGAGAACATCCTTTGTTCGACCAGTTGTGAAGCACTGTGTCAAAGATGCCAAGAATTGGCTAAAATAACCTCTGTGGGTGACGTCATTTGATTACGTGCACCTGCGGGGTTATAAATAGATGTGAAACAGACACACCTTCAGGTTATACCTTTGTCTGAAGGGATGTCCAGGCACGCCTACAGTGCAGCATTGAGGCACAGCATCTTGTTCCTGCTCTTTCAGGGAACAGAGTTACAGTCAAGTAACCCGAGACATTCCCTATCAAAAGCTACTCTCGATGCTGTTTCAATAACGCATATGGGAACGAGAATACCAAGGCTGCCACACTGGAAGTGTCTGAACCCCTCAAGGTTGTGTAGTGTGTGCGCTAGGGGTTGCACAGACTAATCGACTAATCGACTAGTCGACTTCAATGCTTCAATGACTAGTCGCTGGTCCTATAGAGGGTGCAACAGGATATGAAATCTTTGAAGGAATTCCACATTTACGCTCCGTTTCCAAACAGTTCAAATGACAAATAAATGCATACTCTGAAAGCGCTCCACAAGACATGTGACAGCTCCAGACTTATTTGTTTATTAATGACGTCATCAGCGACCAGTCGACTTCGACTCGACTTTCATCACATAAAAGTCAACTTCAACAAATCAGAAGTCGTTCAACCCCTAGTGTGCGCACAAACAATGAAGAGGTCTCATACATGACTTTGGGATGTTGAATCAAGGACATGCCAGCCCAGAGTAGCATGGACATCCAAACTATAGAATCTGATAAATGTGTGCGGGGAGGACCAACCCGCTGCATCACACACTTGCTGCAAAGGGACACCTCTTGCTAAAGCCATAGAGGATGCAACCCCCCTATTTGAATGGGCCCTAACTCCTAGAGGCGAAGCTTGACCGCGCGCCTCGTAGGCTAGGGCAATAGCATCTGTGACGAGTGGGGGCGGGGCCGAGAGCCGTGGGAACGGAGCGAGGCCGGTGGAGTAAGTGATAATGCA